AAATTGTGCCAATGACAGTTTTTATTTATATATTATTTAATAAAGATTATTCATTTTTGTGTATTTGATTTATCAAATCGAGGATAATTAAGAAAACAATTAGACAATAAAAAACTTCATTTTTAAGATACCTAATTACGCATATCGTGTAAGTTCAGTTGATTTATTCAATTATCATTTCTTATAAAATTATTCTAAAATAATTAAATTAATTCAAATTTCTATTTAATTATTTTTTAATAACTTGTTAATACCAAATTTGACTGCGATTAATTAAATGACAAATAAAATAATAAAGTACGGCCCAATAATCAAGGAGTCGAAAACACGTAATAAATAAATATACAAACAGGTTCTCAAGACCGATCACCCAAAAGCCGACCGGATCCCCATATGTCGAGTCCGCCTACAGGCTACAGCCGAGCCGAACAAACCTCGGAGTAATCAGATGACACATATATCATGAAGAAGCCGCCTCTGATAGACGCAATAATTGTCGACAAGATAGACGTCAATCGAAGCCGTCAAAAAGTCATAAGTGAGCCTCACTATGACCATCTCACATTAAATAATGATGTATTATTGTTTATTTATCAAACCACTTGTAAGAGCACCCACAATGCATTGAGTCTCTTAACAAAATATCATATGCTATATAGAAAATAGACTTAGTCTATTAGAGCACTCACAATGCTTTGGGTCTCTTTTTGCATATGTGACAAATAAATAGACTTAAGTCTATAGTGACATGTACAAACTCAAGCTAAAAAATTCAAAATCTATCCAATGCAAAAATAAAAATAAAAAAAGTACTAGGTCTAAAATACCTAACAACCAATAAAAATATAATAATAGTAAATGATTACTATTGTAAGGTTCACACTTGGGTACAAAATAGACCCAAGAGTGGACTTAGTCTCTTTTTTTTATTGCCACATAAGCTAGACTAGGTCCACTTTTAATTGCATTGTGAAACACTTTTTTATAGACTAGGTCTATTTCTTACATAACATGTGATTTTTTGTTAAGAGACCCAAAGCATTGTGGGTGCTCTTAAAAAATGTCTCCCAATGCAATTAAAAGTGGACATGGTCTAGCTTATGTGACAATAAAAAAAATAAACCAAGTCCACATTTGGATCTATTTTGGACCCAAGTACAAACCCAAACACTTATCATTTATTCATAATTAAAATTTTCTTTTATTAAAGGAAACATATTAGAGCATTTTTATTGATTGGCATGTATACTTGACCTAGTATTTTATTTTTGCATTTAATAACTTTTGAATTTTTTTTACTTGAGTTTGTCCATGTTATTTAGGACTTAAGTCTATTTATATGCCACATATGTAAAATTAGACCCAATGTATTGTGGATGTTCTAAGGGAAAGGGTTATGTATAAATATGTGTAAAGGAGGATTCATTCATCCCCCAACAAGAAAAAGAGAGAAAACTTTCACAAACTGAGAAATAAAAACACCTATTCTCAATCATTTTGTTCTTCAATTTCACGCAAGAAATTCGATTCGTATTCGACAGTTGGTCATCCAATTTTCGACATCAACATAACTATGTTTGAGTCTTTTTTGATTTTTATCTATAATACTAGTGGGCTCTCGATTGTGTATGCCCAGCCGACCCGAGTTTAATCTATAATTGTGAAATTCATGCACATCCCAAGAGACAACTTGTGGTTCGTAGAATAAAACAGCTCGGCCCATCTGTTTAAGGATTCATATGTACAGTTAAGTAGAATCGAAAGTCACCGCATAATTGTCAACTTTTTATTTGTCCGAGCCAACAATGACATCGTCCTCTATAAAGACACAAATGAAATTATATAAATTACTCATACAATTTCAATGCTACACAGCAGATTGGATGCCAAACTACAAAGAACAAAAAAAATGAGTACAAACAGAGGCTTGGAAATTTTTCTTCTGAAAACACAAAGCCATCAGAAACATGAGAAGGTGATTTAGCTGAGACCGAAATCCCACATTTATCTTGGCATATCTCATGCCAAATTCCAAACAACAATGGAATTGCCGATAAATATTACGAATAATAGTAGTAAAGGTAACTAATGTAATCAACTAAGGACAGCAACCAAAAGCCATACCTTTGGCCTTTTTCTTCAGCCAGATCTGTCAGCATGTCGGGCTCCAATCCCTGCACCTATCCAAGATCCATACAACAAAATCGCAGATGGCAGGGGCCTTCGTGGAAATAAATAATAATCCAGAATTTGCATAATCATTTTCTGGAGTCGTTTTTTCACAGCTGCTCCGTTGCCAGAATCGGTGCTCAACGACTCTTCCATATTTCTCCAGTCCACAGCTTTTGAGGGGTCTTTTGCTTCCGGGCAGTCAATAAATAGGGTATGCACCAAAAGAATAAGAATAAATTGCCCTTTCTCAATTAAACTGAGACTTTAACACATAAGAAAAATCCAACATTGATAAGAATGGAAGAGATAAGATGAGCAGCAAATGTAAATAAAAAAAGAAAAACTCTAATGAAATCAATTATAGAGCAAATCACAAAAAAAATAAACCAAGGAAAAAAAAAGAATATCACAACCTTGATGGCGATTTACTTGCACTTTACGGTTGTAAAACTAAGTGATGTTGTCGACATTTTTCTGGTTGCCATTCTTGCGGAACTGCCTCTTCTTTAACCATACGCGCTTCCTTTTTGTACATGACCATGAGGATCGTAGTATGAAAAAAATGCCTATATACCCTAAAAGATTAAAATCAAAGTAAAAGAATTACCTCATAAAAATGGCAAGATGAAGCTCGTCAAACAAGCCTTACATTCGTACACTTCTCGACACCATAATTCAGCTTTTATGCAAAGAACTCGGGCGCCAACACAATGCTCTACAGTCGTTCATCGTTGAGAAACTAGGAAAATCCATCAAGTACGAATGCAAAATTATATAGGCAAATCGATAACTGCATTTTGCGACCAATATCCAACATACCACATTAGATTTTCAAACCTAAGAACCGAAAGAAGACAAAAGGCGAAAAATTCTAAGACCGATTTAAGGCTTAATCTTACGGAATTAAACTGAAAGACGTGTATTGCTATAGAGACGTTGGAAAGGACGTTGCTTTTAACTTCTACTTTTCTTAGCAGTGTATGGGAGCCCATTAACAATGGAGACGTTGGAAAAGACATGGTAAAATTAGTCTGCTGGCCTGGAAAAAATTGATCACAAGCAGGAGTGTTAAAAAACAACTTTTAGTTTCCAAAATCAAAGATAATTGGTCAAACATTATTTCTATTATGACCAATTTGTTATAAACTCTGTCACGCTTATTAATTGGTTTACAAAGTATTTGTTTTGTTTGTGTAATTAGTTTGACCACAAGGGGCCACCAGTTATCTCAGGAGTACGAAATCCCAACCTATTTTGTAGAGTTGGCCACGTGTCACCTAATCAACTCATACATGAAATCATAATAGTCATTACATCCCTATCCTTAACTTTTATATTAATTAGATATAGAGGAACATTTATTGTGAAGATAAAATAATATAAAACATAAAAGAAATAAAATATTAATACTGCTCACGGGGCATGCAACTCAAAATTAAAGGANTAAAATAACCACGTTATAATTATTGCACCCCAAAATCGGGACGACATTTGTCATTTAATGGTAGAACAAAGAAAAAAAGAAAATAAATAAAAGGATGTACCAAAATGAAAAGGAAATTTTGAAAATTGAACACAATGGAGCAAAGACAGAAAAAAATATAATTATTATTAATAAATAAAAATAATAGAAAGTCCAGCCCAATTGGAGAGTCCACTAACAGCCCAAAACAAAAGCTTTGCATAATGAGGCGTAGGAACTCACGTGACAAATGAAAAGGAAAAAAAACTAAAAATGTGCTCTCACCAAAATTTTTTAGGGGTGCACACCAAATTTTTTTTGCAGCCACGTGGCACTTCAAGAAGGCACTCAACCTACGTTTATTAAGATGTGGAGGGATTATTACAGAAAGGGTACGGCTGTATAAGCACAGCCGGCCCAGTGTATTGAGCCCCACAATGTTATTAAAAAAGGGGAATATCATGGTCAAAATTGTCAAACAAATGTCATAAATCGCCCTCCAAACAAGTCTGAATAAACTGAAGTTACTGAACTCACGTTCAAATTAATAGTGGAAAACGGTAGGGAGTTGCATGAATGAACTTATTTCCTTATTTTCTTTGCTCCAATGGTTGGGCAAACACATGCAAGACATACAATAATTTTAAGAAGACTAAGTATCAAACTTTCAAAGAGCTGCCGATGGTCTATCAGTTTCAGTGAATATGAAAATAAAACAAACTTAATATAAACATGAAATTCCACTTGTATAAACATAAAAAGAAAAAAAAAATCTTCTGATAAACCCCTCTTTAGAATCAACTAAAAAGACAATCTTTAAAAAATGAACATTCGACTCAGTGAGCCGTCTTCAATAACATAGCTGACGAATAAGCTTTTGTTTGACACTCACAATCTTCGGCGCTTTCTTGTGGTATCTCGGTGCCTCTGCCCCTACACGGCCACCACTTCAATAGATATACCGCAACACCCTTCTGTGTACAAAACAAAAGAAGAATAGAGAAAATAAAAGAAACATAAGTTTGAGAATTGAGAACTAAGAAGGTTCATGAGTTGAATCGGCAACCCAAGTAAATAACTGTATACTGAATTGAATTAATAAGAAGAATATTAATTTTTTTTACCACCTCGTTGACTGATCTGTTGTTCTGCGCTAAGCGATGCTAGTGGAGTTGAAGAATGGCAAGACGATTTAGGGCCCTGACTTTCACACAAGCCAATAATTAAGCGCGAAAGCACAAATTCCTCATTTACCATGTCACCTGTAACATATATCTCTCCAGTTAATAATAATTTTTTTTTTTTAATTAAAGCATGGAAAAAAATGAACCCAAAATAAATTTATTCAATTTTTGTGTAGCTAAATATGCATGCAACAAGACAACAAATTATTGACCATGTAAATATACAAGCTCCTTAAGGTGTAGTACAATAGAATACTTTTTTATAAGTATCATGGAATGATCCCAAAATTATGGAATAGTAATCCAAATTGGCCATGTCATACAATTTTAAGAAAGTGCAAACATTGGTTTCACTCAAGTAACGTCGCAACTCTTTAGTTAATTAAAAGTTTCGTTATTCCTTCATGAATTGAATCGGTGTTGGCTTTCGTCAGCTTCAGCCGCTCCTCCATTGGAGTCGCGCATGACTTGCAATCAGCCATGCCGCTCCGCTCCAACAACTTCCCCGCATACGCACGTTGGCAGAGAGTGATGGAGTCTCTCCCCTGCTTCACCTCGATGCCGAGGTAGTAGAAGAGCTGCCCGAGATCGCTCATGCGTAAACGAGCTGCCATCTCGCGCTTGAAGCCGTTGATGTCCTCTTCTCGTGCCGCAGTGATGATCAAGTCATCCACATACACGCCGACGACGAGCTCCTCCTTCCCCCGTCGTCGAGTGTAGAGCGCGTGCTCTGTCGCGCAACGCGTGAATGATGAGGATGTGGTTACACGATCCTTCATCAGTGAACCCAAGCGTACCCAGAGCGGCATTGAGCTTGGCGTTTCACGCTCGCGGGGCTTGTCGCAGCCCATAGAGTGCCTTCCGCAGCCGCAACACCTTGTGCTCCTTTCCCTTGACGACGAAGCCCGGGGCTTGCTTGACGAAAACAGTCTCCGCTAGCTCGTCATTGAGGAAGGCCGATTTCACGTCCAGGTGATGAATGCGCCAGTCCTTCGCTGCCGCCATGACCAACAGTAGGCGAACTAACTCCATGCGCGCCACTGGTGCAAAAACTTCCTCAAAGTCGATGCCCTCTCGCTGGATGAAACCACGAGCAACGAGGCGCGCCTTGTGCTTGACTATGGCGCCACACTCGTCCCGCTTGACCTTATAGACCCATTTGAGCCCAATTGGATGACAGCCTGGAGGTGGATCAACGAGCTCCCACGTCTCATTTTCCTCGATTGCCTTCATCTCCTCTAGCATAGCTCGTCTCCAACTGACATCGCGCTCGGCCTGCGCAAAAGTCGATGGCTCCTCTGCGCTGACGAAGAGCAGTTCCTGATCGTCGAGTAATTGGCTCGCCAAGCCTGGTACAGCCGAGTTGCCAACGAGGTTTTCCATCCTGCGAAACCTCACCCCCTCGCCGTCGTGGAAGGCATCCACATGCTCGTCGATGTCGCTTGGAGGAGAGGCGAACTCAACTGTCGTCGCTGGAGATGTCCCATGTCCTGCCGCAGTAGAGGACTGTGGTGGGGGTGTGTGTGTAGCCACTGGTGGAGATTCTTCCCCCGTGCCCGCCATGGCAGGACTTTGGGGATCATCCGACGCCGCCACAGCTGCTGGACTTGGTGCGTCCGCAGCTGGCTCCTCTACTCCCGCATCTCCTCCTCCGTGGATCACCAAATGCTCGATGACGAACGAACCGCCGACGCCACGGGCTTTCCCCGTGCTAGGATTCTCCCAATCCCAGGCCGCCATTTCGTCGAACACCACATCCCACGAAACCACCACCTTGCCTCCACGTGGATCGTAGAGCCGATAGGCCTTGCTCCCCTCCTCGTAGCCTAGGAACACCATCGGTGTGCTCCTATCCTCAAGCTTGGACAGGAAAGGCTTCATCTTCTTCACATGGCCAATGCACCCAAACGTCCTTAGAAACGAGACGTCGGGCTGCCTACCATGCCAAGCTTCGAATGGCGTCATGCCCTTCAGGGCCTTCGTGGGCACACGGTTGAGGATGAACACCGCCGTGCTCACAGCCTCTCCCCAGAACTCCGCTGGCATGCCCTTTGCCTTCATCATGCTTCGGGCTATGCCCACCACGGTCTGATTCCGCCGCTCCACTACGCCATTTTGTTGCGGTGAGTACGGCGCAGTGTGATGGCGCACCATCCCCTAGTTTGCACAGTACGCGGCGAAACACCTCGATATCTATGAAGAGGAGAATACATTGTCATTTATTCCTTGTGTGGAGAGTAGTGTTCAACTCAACAGTGAATCGAAGTCTTGGAAACAAAGAGGTACAGTGAATTTGGACAAATAATGTTGCTCCTTGATGAATAATTTTTTATTTTATTTTTTGTCCGAAAGGATTCCTTGATGAATAATTTTTTTTCCCCGAAACGACTCCTTGATGAATAATTAATTATCAAACTCGTAGCTTTTTGTAACTTATGTGCGTGACCTTTGTCTATGTCTGTGTGGTTGGATGGATTGTTTAGTCATATGTTTTTATCTCCTTAATGTTGTCAATACTTGCAATGTTTTTGGTATTAAAAGTAAGGCGCATAAGCAAAATGAACAACTAATTTGATGCTGTGCTGTGGAGATCTTAGTTTCCTTCACTCTTCAAAATGAACAACTAATTTGATGATGTGCTGTGGAGATCTTAGTTTCCTTCATTGTTACAAGAATTGTACCTAAAAATCAAGTTTGCGACTATATCTCAATCCAACAGCAAGGGCCTTTATATATTTGAGTGCTAACAATTGGATAGCTAGTTTAATAGTCCAACCATGAGACCCAGTTATAAATTTCATGTGAGATATCCAACATTATTGACCCATTTGCAGCTCAACACTCAATTAACTCCATCTGATACAGTAATCAATAATGTGAGTGGACCAAAAGCAATAAACAATAAGTATGCTATGCTATCCAATCCTTCACTGGATAAATTACAGACAACAACTTAACTGCACAATCTTGTTTAAATTGAAACTATCGCTGGTCAGACTGGACTTCTTGAAAGCAAATCACATTAAATTCAAGCACGAAGAACAACAAAATAACATCAAAACAGACGGAACAGTTCATGCATCATACATACCATAGGTCAGTAACTAATGGTGAACTTTCACAAGTACAATAACCAGATTACATAACCAGCACAGCCAGCTGTCACTTAAAAAGAGGTGTTACTTTTTAACTTATAAACACACAAAACATTCAAATATCCTCGTACTACAACAACTGATACACCATCCTAAATAACCAGTACACAACAACAAAAACAAGCGGCTGTCAACCATTAACCTTGTGTCTCGTCTTTCTTGTCTCTTCTTTTCTATCTTAAAAGAACCGAAATTTAAAAACCCTGATACATACACGAAAGCTGACACAAAACAAGTTACCTTTTCTTTTTTTTTATAATAAAATGTCTAATAAAATAGTCCCTTCTTGTTTCTCAATCCGCGGTCATCGGCTGGCTGACGCAGCACCTGAAACGGGCCTTCCTGACAGTTGTCAAGATCTCGGTCTCGGCAGTCTCGAGCATCCGAACAACCTCGCTGAATGAGGGCCTGACATCTGGATTGGCATCCCAGCAGCGGGTCATGATCTGGCTCAGGGCAAGGAGGCAGTCGTTTGGGATGGTGGGGCGAACCCCCTTGTTGACCACCGCAAATGCAGCCTGCACGGCTGTCATGTTCTGAAACGGGAGCATGCCTGTGATGAGCTCCCAAAGCACAATTCCGAAGCTGTACACGTCTACTTTCTGGGTGTAGGGCCTGTGCTGGATCATCTCCCTGAAGAGGTTTCAAAGAACGCATAGGCTTAAGTATTGAAAACCGAATTACAAACACGCACCCACGGACAAATTCAGTTTTTCGATTCTTAATTTTTTTCATTTTTTTTTTTTTGGTTCTTTTAGTTTCTCCTAGGGCTTCATGATATATATGGAATTAATTAAGCTGTAGTTCTAGGTGTGACCACCTCAAATCAGGCCACTCAAGGAAAAGAAATGGAACATTCTTCGAGAATCATATTGTGGCTTAAAACAGCTTGCTTCAGGATGCAGTTTATGAAATAGAAATATATATTCATGGTGGTGTGTGAAATTGAGATGGTGGCTGCAATTGAAGACCAGACCAAATATGTTGGTTTACTACCACAGAATCACTGCATACAATGAAAATAGTAATATCTAAAAATCAGGTTTGTGATTAAATCTCAATCCAACAGCAAGGGGCCTTTATATATTTCGGGTGCTAACAACTGGGTAGCTAGTTTAATAGGCCAACCATGAGACCCAGTTATAAATTTCATGTGAGATATCCATTATTGATACTGCACCCATTTGCAGCTCAACACTCAATTAACTCCATCTGATACAGTAATCAGTAATGTGAGTGAATCAGAAGCAATAAACAATAAGTATGCTATTCAATCCTCCACTAGATAAAATATAGATAACAACTTAACTGCACAATTTTGATTAAATTGAAATTATCTGTGGTCAGACTGGACTTCTTGAAAGTAGATCACATAAAATTTAAGCACGAAGAGCAGATGCAAACATGCTATGAAGATTTAAACCTCACACAGTTCTATTTTCTTTCTATTCTGAGGGGCCAAAGGAGAAAATCTAGGGCGAGGTAGGTCAAGTATAATTAAATGTACCAGATGAATTGATGCAACCCCTTACATTCTTATTAAGCAATGGTGGAGAAAAAGTTAAACAATAAAGTCAACATGCAACTGAATGATATCACAGCATACAACCTACAAAAACCAAAGAACCATACTTCGAAGGAATAATGACCACTCAAGCCGAGAAAATCTATTAATTAGTTAAGATATCACATATCAGCAAACAATACAAGACAAATTGATACATAGAGG